TGGCAGCTCCCACCACGGAGTGATGGAGCCGTGGAGACAAAGATGGATGATCTGTCCTCTCACTTTCTCTCTGATGACTAAAGAACATGCTGCTCGTCCCTTGTCCACAGTTTTAAAATCTACCAACGGCTGGAGCTGTGAAAGTCACACCTGTTGATGACTCGGTGTGAGTGTGTAAAATTCCTGTTCTTTGTACATCTGTGTAAGTGTGTGTGTGTGTGTGTGAGGACAGTGACAGAGAGTAAGTGTTGGTTAATAAGAGTGTGACTGAGTGAAATGTGCCTTAATGAGAAAATTTGGGGAGGTTTGAGAGGGACTACGTGGGTGAGTGAAGGATTGGCTCTCTGTGTGAATCCATGAATGTTTAATTATGTTCCAGAACATGTTTTTTTCCTGAGATTTAAATATCAGCCATCACATCAGCGAATAGCTGAATTCATGTATTCATGAAGAGCTCTTTGCAGCCTTTTCTCCCTCAAAGCAGCAGTTGATGAATGCATTATTTGACAGACAACACATGGTCTAAAAAGCTGCAGTGCAATTGTCCGTAGCTGTGTCTCACGTCAATGGTTGCAGACAAGTAAGAATCCAAACCCCTTACAAAACAACAACAGCAGAGCCTCTGGTTTGACAACAAGGTTAGCACCAAGACGATCACCAGTTTGCTGGTTTGATTGTCTAACTTGTGTCAGAAATGTTTGTGAATGACAGAATAAACCAACGACAGTGTGAATGGATGAATACAGGTAGTTTGTGTGTGAAACATATAATAGTGAGAATGAGTGTGTGAGTGGGGGAAATCAATGGGCGAATGAGAGAGCAGCTGAATGAATGAGCCCGGATGAGTAATTGGGTTGGAGAGGGTTATAAGATTAAATGAGACTCCACATGAATATTGACACAAACAGGAGTTTCTGGCACAAAGACACTGGACTAATTGGATTCATTTGAGTCCATTTGTTGTCAGGGGGACATGGCACTCGTCCCCACGACCCCCCGCTCTTCACCTCAGCCATGTTGTTCTCTGCCACCCACCAATGATACTAATACAACCTCCTCTCATAATAACAGCAGAGATTATTGAGATTACTGCAACAATGGCACAGGCTCTTGAGACAACAGTGTGTGGGACAAGGTACAACTTAAGTGCCAATGAGTCACAAACAAACAACTAATAGGTTTTTCTCTCCAACGTGAAGAAAACAGCCTTTTCACTTACAAAAAATAACAATATATTCAAACATTACATGGATCGTAATTGTCTACTCTTGACACGTGTGCACTTTCTTTCTTTTGTTAGAACCACACTGCTGTAAAATGCGACATCCATTTAAATTGTTATAAAAGGTGACCTCTCATTTATCTCAAACAGTTTCAGCCTTACTTGTTTTTAAGAACATTGTGTCACTGGTCAAATTTAGCATCGATAGAATTAATCCAACAGATGCAACAAATGTAAGAAGCATTGACATAAGGCTTAAGGTAACAGGGTTGCAGTACAGGGTTCTCTGTATTTCAAATATTTGAAGGTTGGAGACAAAGTTCAAATATGACCACACTCGCCGCAGTACTTTAACAGAAACAGTGATGAACGAACTGCTCACACACAGGCATGATTCATGTGTCAGGATTCATGCATTATTCACTGTCAAATGTATTTGTGTCAGATGTGTCAAATACAAGATTAAACATATTTTCAACTCTGGGTAAAAATAAAGGATGATAAAAATGTCATTAATTAATGCCATGATGCCACATAGACTGAGAAAGATGAAAGGTTTAGAGATGACGACGGCTTCCTCCCAGGTTTCAACTAATTACTCAACAAAGTTTTTAACGAATAAAATGTTTGATAAAAAATGAACACCTAATCTGGATCTACACCCCGGAGTCTTGTATTTACAATTATTACTCTGAACGTAGATAACCTCATAGTTATGACACATATTCAATACACTACCATATATGTCCTACTGAAATGTGGCTGTGGCAGCTCTGACGCTGACCCTCTCGTCTCTGGATAGTCTTTGACATCGCTCTGATGGAACAGATCTCACGTCAAATCAAACAAAAGCTTTTGTGTCACACCTGAAACAAAGTGTATGACTCAACCCTGGTCCTTTCAGCGTCAGGTGGGGGAAAAAAAAGATCAGAGATTTGCTCAAGCTCTGCATAATTATGCTTGAGTGGATTGATTAATGTACGATTGTGACACTGCATTCAGAATAGCTACAAAAAATAAAAATAAAAAACTGATGTCACTGCTACACATGCTCTGATCCCCACATAGCCCTGTGTGTGATGTGATTCAGATGACCAACCCGAAGATTTTATTTCTTTGGCTTAAATGTCCTAAAATATAAAACACACAGAGTATTTTTTTAAATAAAACAAGAGGTTGTTTATGATAGGGACAAACTATGGATTTAGCTGCAAACAGACATTTTGTTCACATAGTTTTTTAACATGTTGTTGCTTCCTGCGGCTGGATCCCATTATGTAAATAAGTAATACAAAAGACAACAGTCTTATCAGGAAAGAGCAATCAATATAAATGCATGTATGCACTGGACAAAGCCAGGGCTCAGAGGAGCAGAATGAGAGACAGACTCACGAGCAGCAGGGAAGAAGAACAGCGCAAAAACCAGACGCACACAGAAGGAGTGAAACAAAGCTGAAGGTCTCCAACAACACACAGGATGATTCATCTCTGAGTTATATTTTGCATACTGAAAAGTGTCCAAGATGGCAAACTGTGGATCAAAGTATTCAGCAGATTTTTTAAGACCTGACTCTGAGTCCAGCTGTCTGCCCATTTGTTCAGTTATGAAGATATTAAACCAAGTACTATTCTTCTTTTGAGAGACGTTTTTTTAAACATGTGATGTCTATTTCTGTACAAAACTTTTGCATTTTTTTAGGGTTTGAAAATAATATCTTACATAACATATGATCCACCAGTCAGGAAACAACCCGAAACTTCACTTACTCAATTTTTCTTTTACTCTAGCCTTCACTAATGCTGTCCATTACTGCACATGTATGTAAAGGTTGATATTTTGTTATGTACTTTTCTAACCCTCATTTATAGGATTATTCTGACACTGACACTAAAGGTGAATTAACTCAGTTTAGTCGAGTCAAAATCCAAGGACTTCTAGTTTTACAACGGTAAATCCCCACTATTTCTACTTTTTCAACTTTTTCTTTACAAATTGTTATTTTGAACACACAACACGTGACTTTGGCCAAAATTATGAAACAATAAAAAATGGTCACGCTCTTGTTACCATAAGAATGGCTCAGTAGTCAAGACTAAGACTAATGAAGACCCCATAGATGTGGCTTCTCTAAGACCTGTTTGAATGACTTCATGTTCAAGAGTTGGACATATCTTTGAAAGTACCTCTGTTTCCAGTAGACAGTGGAGGCAGGGATGTGAGATGAAGCAGATGATTCACTGTTGCAACCCCAGAAAGAAGCAGCTGTAAGAACACGAAGACAAAGTCAGTGATGTGATGTTAAAGGTGGTACAGAGCTCCTATAAACACGTTTGTGGACAACTCTTAGTGGCTTATAGTTTGATTTATTCACAGACTAAACTGTGCAACTTGTGATTATGTCAGACCTCAGTGATTGTGGACATACGTAGCTTCAAAAAGTACTTGACAAGCATGTTGAAGGAAGCTAAAGATGTTTCACTCAGTGTTTATGTGGGTTGAACACCTTCACTCAGTTGTAACATTGTACTACATTTTATTTGGACCTGTAGAAAAGGAGTATTACATATATTTCACCCAAATCCTGCACGGTGAATGGTAAAATAGACTAGGCTACAGGAAGTGTGCCAGAACACTGTCAAACTCTCTCGCTGTGTGTGTGTGTGTGTGTGTGGACGTTGCATCTCCTGGTGTGTATGTCTGTGTGTGCACATCTATTTTGGAGATCTCTAGGAGCAGGACGCGGGGGCGCGCCTCTCTGTGTCGGTCACCAGTGAGATCTATTTTTAGAAACAGCGGGTCTTGACGCTTCCTCACGTGCTGATGGAGACCACAGGCTTTCGGGCTTTGCGCAAAACCGACGGCGGTTTGCACGAGACTGAGCAAAGATAACGAATGTCATCCAGCAAAATGGAATCAAAACATAGCCGATCGATATTTAATAATCATTTAGAAAACGTGAGTGGCGGTCAGAGAGCTATACAAAACAGAGAGGGAGACGGAGAGTCATTATATATATTTCATATGAGACAGAAATACGATTGTGAAGCTATTTTTAACATCTATTTGCTGCAGTACGTTCGAGCATTTGATTGGACGAACAGCTGCACTCATTGTTTTGTTGATGGTATTCTTTGAGCAGCATTTTTCTTACTCCACAAACGCCGGCTCTGAAAAAACCTCCTGAGTGACAGAGCCACTCAGAATATTAACCGTATCATTTACACGTTTAACGTCAAATTTCAAAAATGGTGCGTTTGCTGCATATGGGATAAAAAAAAAACGGTGCTGACGCAAAATACAGAGGCATTTTGACACTTGTCCACTTAAAATTAACGTGTCAAATTCCAATTATGAGAAAAAAATTAATTAAGTGTGAGCGCAGCAGCAGGTTATGAATGACTCCACTGACAGATGAGGAAGCAGCAGCAGCAGCACGTGATTGGATCAGTATCACAATAATATGTTAAAGACGGTAACAGTAAATGTTGCTGCTACGACAATATCAACTATATATCGATACTTTGCCAACATACACCTGCAGTGTTAGCTCCGTGCCATCAGTGCAGTGTTTGGGCATCCTGCGCCTGCAGGCTCCAGACATATAAACACACACACACACACACGCACACACACAGCTGTTTCATATGCAGCTCAGCATCCCTCACCTCCCCCCTCTGCACCATCACCACTACTCCTCCTCTCTGCATCCTTCTCCAATACACAGGAGCCCGGTGACTCCGTTTACGTTTTACTCTAGCTCCGCCCCTTACTCGGTTTTGTCCAAATTGGGCTTTTTGCGTCGCCGGAGCTCCCGAGTTCAGGCGGACGTCATCAGCGAGTAAAAGGAAGAGCTGACGTCGAAGAAGAGTCACCGAGAGGAGAGGGCATCGGTGAGGGAGGGGAGAGGAGAGCTTCAGCATTAGAAACACTGAGATTCACATCCCCCCTGCTCCCCTCCCTCCCTTTTACGTCGGTGTTGGTGCGTTGGGAGCCCCCCTGCTCCGGTGGAGTCCCAGGCTATATAAGAGACCGACGAGCAGAGTCCCTCCACCAGATTTACAGTTTCCAAACTTCTGTGCAAGAGAGAGAGACGGCTGCCTCAGCCGCACATTCGCCTGCTGCTCTCAGAGAGAGGGACAGACACCCAGCAGCCGGACAGCATCCGAGCTGGATGCTGTGGGCGAGTTGAAACAGGCGCTGACAGGAAAAAGAAAACACCATAGCTGCGATGAAAGTTCAATAACACCTCAGATCTCCTTCCACTCGCACAAAACTGTCTCTTGAAACACCTCAGAGACAGCTGCACTTCAGCCGAGGCACGAAACAACGAAAAGTCTCTCACTTTCGTCTGCAGGAATTTTTCCTTCCGCAACAACTGACAACAATGTACCGCTCAACCAAAGGAGCTTCCAAGGCTCGAAGGGACCAGATCAACGCAGAGATCCGGAGCCTGAAGGACTTGTTGCCCATATCTGAAGCAGATAAAGCGCGGCTCTCGTACCTGCACATCATGTCACTGGCATGCATGTACACCAGGAAATCCGTCTTCTTCACTCAAGGTAACTGTCAATTTTATTCTTTCATGAAAAGACCTGTTGATTTTGTGTCGCACTGCTGCAAAAACTGGACTGATGTCGGTCACGGAATCGGATTCAACAAGTGTTAGAGGGAACGAGCTGTTTTCCACATTATCTGTAGATGTCAGTGGCTTTATTTTATCGTTGACTATGCGTTCAGAAGATGATGAAGGGCGCTCCAACGATGACTTGTTTCTGTCCGTGGTGCTGAACCACTTAAACGACACAAACCGAGTCATGTCGCTATCCGTGGTGCTGAAAACGAATGCGTCCGCAGCAAATGACGCTGAGATCAGTTAGGAGTTGATGATTTCCTTTATACTTTATTAGCATTTCATTAACGCACCAATGTCTTCCTTTCTTTTAACCCAGAAGCGGGATCTGCAGCCAGCCTTGAACACAGCGTACAGTTTCTGTCTTTCCACGAATTGTCGGAGTTGATGCAGGCTCTCCCGGGTTTTCTGATGCTGCTCACTGGAGAAGGGAAGCTTCTGTACATGTCTGACAGCGTCTCCGAACACCTCGGCCACTCAATGGTGAGTCTTCATAGATCTGACGCATCAATTTCTCTTAAAGTTAGACTAATTAGCTTTAGAGCTACAGTAAACATTAATGTTTGTTATATTTCACAGGTGGACCTTGTGGCACAAGGAGACAGTGTGTACGACATCATCGACGCCTCCGATCACCTGATCATTAAGACCAACTTGTCGACTTCTTCTTCACTTGAAATAGGTAATTTAAAACGTTACTGTCACATGTTTTAACTAGACAATAATTATAATATATTTGACTAAGTTATTCTCCCTATTTTCTGCTACAGATCGTCTCTTCCGCTGCCGTTTCAACACCTCCAAGTCCGTGCGGAGGCAGAGTGCTGGGAACAAGCTGGTTCTGATTAGAGCTCGATGCCTCCTCTCCCCTCCCTCCACCACTCCTGTTGCTGGTTCTTACTGGAACTCCAATCCAGTATGGGTGTGTTTTTGCTCCCCTCTGGAGCCCCACCCAACCCGATCTGGACCTGTGGCAGAAAGGGAGTTGACCTCCACTCCACCTCTGGCTGACAGCAACTTGTTTTTGTCAGGCTTCCATTCCCAGCATGGCCGGGACATGAGAATAGAGACAGCACAGGACAGGTGAGGTGACATCATCATCATCACCAACATCATATCTATTGCTTCAGATTCAGGCAGTGTAATAATGTCTTATGAGATTAGAGAATGAGTAAAGCATTATGGTCCTAACTCATCACCGCCCACTCTTCCCTGCAGTGTGAGCAGCTATCTGGGCTTTGATGTGACAGCTTTACGCTCTCGCTCCTGGTACAGCCTCCTCCACCCACAGGATCTGTCACATGCCTCTGCTCAACACCGCAGCCTCTGTAAGTTTACTCTTCATACATGCTCATTACAACCATCTGTGCCCACACACACTGTGCACAGAGAAAAATACACAATGATTAACAGGATTATAAACCAGTGCCAACTTGTGCTTATTCAACAGTGAGAGAAGGTGGAGAGGGAAGAGCTGAAATGGTGGTGCGTGTCCAGGCTCAGGATCAGTCCTGGGTTTGGCTTTATATGGTGCTTCAGCTGCAGCCTGGAGAGTTTCCCATCGGCAGCAACAACTACATAATCAGGTATTTAATGACATTAACCTTTCAAAGTAACATTATATAAAAATGTTAAAACTAAACTTACTAACCTAACTTTGTTCTCTTTCACAGTGAGTCTGAGGCGTGGTCAGTGCGTCAACAGCTCACCTCAGAGCACAATCAGCTGACCCTGGTTCTGACTGCTGGTACCTCTCAGCAAGAGGGTCTTAGCTTGCAGTCCCCTGAAACTATGTCCAGCCCAGATCAGGTCTTCACCCCTGGCAGCAGTGGCTTGTCGGCTCAGTCCTTTGACTTTAGCACTGCTGGCTGCAGTGTAGGCTCCTCTGATGAACCAGGGAGCTCCACCACAGAAGCCATGCAGCAGGAGGGGGACCCTCGCTCCAGTATCTCCTCTTTGGAAGAGGAAACCTTCTTCCATCAGCATCCCGCTGAAAGGTCCTCAGCTGCCTCCTCCCCAACCCCCGTCACTGTGGAAACAGTGGCAGACTTAGACTTTTTAACCCAGAACATTCTTCTCCCACCATCCTTCCAGCTTGACCCTCCTCTCCCAGCTCTACCCCTGCCTCTGCCTCCTGTCCCCACCACACAAGCTCAGCAGACCAAAGAGTTTGTCTGCACGCCACCATACACTCCCCTCATCAGTGGCCCCAGTTTCCCATTCACTGAACCCCACTTCAGTTTCGACCCCAGTGGCACCACCACACCTCCGCCCTCTGCCACCACAGCCACAGCCACCACTTCTCTGGCTCCATCAGCTACTTCCTCTTCCCCACAAACCACTGCCTCCAGTCCTGCTCCACCCACCACCCTCTCTACTAAACTTCCTCTGGCTCTGCCCACTTCATCGACTGATCTCCTATTCCCTGTGGAGTCCTGCAGCGGCTCCCTGTATGAGAAGCTTCCCCCCACTCCTGACAGCCCAGGGGATGGTGACTGCACAGTCATGACCCTACCTGAAGTACGGGGTCCACTATACGTAGATGTCCCACTGGGACCCCTTCAGTGTCCCCCTGAAGGCCTCCTTACCCCTGAGGCTTCACCAGGCAAACAGCCCTGCCTCTCTTTCTTCTCTATGGAAAGAGAGAGGGAGAAAGAAAGAGCAGAGATCTCTCTCTTAGCCCAGCACATCAGCTCACTGGCAGAGGGATTCTATCTGGATCCACTCTTGTCCAAATTTTCTCCTCCACCCATGTCTCCTTCCTCCTCTCCTTCCCACTTCCTGTCTCCAACCATAGAAACTGCTGGTGTTGACTCAGTCCAATTATCGAGGGAGTTTTATCCCATCAAAGCATGGAAAGGCCTGGACATTCCCATCTTCCTTGACGAGGACGACTCTCTGTTTGAAGAGGGCATCCTAGAAACTCTGCTCCAAGATGACTTGGCTCCTCCTGCTCCGCCTAAATCTCCCAGTCCTTCCTTCTCCTCCCCTTGCTCCTCTCCAGTGCCAAATCTCTCCAGCCCGGTCTCTCCCCAGACCCCAGTGTACTGGCACCAACCCTCCCAGTTTGAGAGAGTGGGCCACTTCTGTAGCGTCCAATCGGCGCATTGTAACTCCATGACTGGGTGCAGGGCGACTGTGGCACCTGAGGCTGGGGTGAAAGTGGAAGGGGAGGGGCTTGCGGAGGAAGCTATGGAGATTGAGGTGGTGTCATCTCCTGTGTCCTCCTGCTCCTCCATCCCAGCTTCCCCTCCCCTCATACTCACCGCCTCACCCAGCCCTGTCACCACCATGACCATCAACTCGCCCTCACCCACCGTGTCTTGCACTCAGTCCCTCCTGGAGGAACTGGCCGTCCTGGAACCCATGTTTGGGGCAGGTGCCTCTATCGCCCCTGGTTTAGGGCAACAACCTGAGTTGTATCAACTCCAATGTCATCCATCGCCACAGTACTTCCATCAAGGTAAGGAACTGGGTCCTTTTCCCTTTTTTAAAAAATTGTGGTTTCACAAAAGCAAATACAGGATCTGATTATTCAGCACTAAAGGCCATTTTTCTCTGTTTCTGCTTTGCCTTTCAGATGGGAGTGGAAGTGTTCCTCCGTTCTAAAATAAGTCTGTGACTTACTTCATCAAGTATGGCATATTGTCATATTTTGTGGAGCCACTTTTACTGAAAAGTAAAAAATTATTAAGTGTATAAATATACATAATGTATATATAAAACTTGAGGACTTTAACTCCTACACATCTCCTGAGAACAAAGATTGGCTCAATATTTTTGTTCAGTCACAGTCTGTAACCTATTACAAAACTGGTGCGACATTTACATGATGGTGCAACCACATGGACCCATGACTAACTCAGTTGTGGGTCCCTGTGTTGTCCTTCAGCTCCTCATAAGTTTCAGATGTAATCAAATGTCAGAGAAAGCTCTCTGAACTTTAAAGCGCTGTTTAACTTCCAAATGCGCATTTGTATTCACTCGTAGTGAAAAACTGTTGTGAACAACAAAAAAAATGTTGCATTTCTTGCTGTTTCAATAAGGAGATGAATTATAGCACTTTTGCCTGACATGCTGAACAACGCAAACACAAACCTCAAACGTACTGAAAAACAAATGTTTACAAACTGATCAAAAAAAGAAAAGAAAAAAAAGACACAGACTTCTCTCTGTGAAATATTCTGTCCAGTCCTCAGAGCTGAAGCTCCGGGAATGAAGCACTTCTTCTTTATCAACACTCTCATAACAATATTCTGCTTGAGATACTTTGAGCTTTGAGTTTGCGCTTGGAACCTTTAACGTTTCATATTTAGCTCTCCATCTAAACTCTATTGTGTATTGATGTGATGTGCAACAAAACTAACAGAAAAAGAGCATCATGTGAAAAGATCCTGGCATGCGACAATCTCAGAATGTTCATCATGAGATGTAAAAACAGCCTCACAAGAGATTGTGTGGACGTTTGCCGGAGATCTGATCATGCCACAGATCCACCGCTACACCTTGTACTGTACATTAGACTCTGAATGTGTGCTCCTCAGGTCTGTGAGGGCCTGAGGGCAGCAGCTGGATCTTCTTGCAGCAGCAGCAGCAGTGTTTACGATGCTGGCAGCTTAACTGGTGGCTCCTGTGGGCCTGCAAATGACCCTGACCT